TATATTGTTTTTCAAGTAAATATTCTACTGATTCCTCTTTTTTTTTTTATTGAATTTTTTAAAACTTAGTTTGATATCAATAACACACTAAATGATCAATTATTAGAACGAGTAACTGTTCAAATCGATGGATCAGCTGAAGGTTTTGAAGTTGTCCATTATACTCCTTGTCAAGTTATTAAATGTAATGATACGGGTACAACTTATACATTAGTTAAATTACCTGATGATTCATCAGCTGTAACTGGTACATTAGCATGTACAATGAAATATACAGTTAAAGATTGTGATCCAACGACGGGTGTATCAGATGATGAAGAAGGTTATGCTGATGAATTTGTGCTTTGTATTTTTATTAATTTCGATTATTTATTTGTCATAGCGTTTTGTCTTTTGTTTTTAGCTTGAAGATATTGAAATAACAGTTAGTGATCATGTACAAAAAGTACTTAAACCAAATTGGTCTGCTTCATGGGAAGAAATTGGAGCTGAAAATGAACTTGAAGATACATATACATTATTAATTCCAACACTTGAAGGTATTATAAAATTATTATATTTTATTTTTCATTTCATCTTATGTTTATTATAGAATGTGTGAAGAAAATAATAAATTATATGGGAATGCAAGCTTGTGAACGATCAGACAAAATTCCAGAAGGCAAAGCATCACATGCATTTTATTTAGCGGGTGTCTATCGTGGTGGACATGATGTACTTGTTCGAGCAAAAATGGCATTGGGTGGTACAACAGTATATCCAGGAGCACAAGCTATTACCATGCAATTAACAATACGTTCGACAGATGGATCAGCTGTGCAAGTTATTGCTTCAGGAGTCGAATAAATAAATAAATAAATAACAAAAACATTCATACATTTTATTAGCATACTTTTCTTTTTTGTTGTGTGGGACTTTTTATCGATGTGCGAGTGTTATAAACTTATCATTCTCTTACTCTAAATAATATACACAGAAACATACTTTTTCCATCGATTATTATTCCATCGTAGTGCCTAATTTAAAAAGAAATCAATTATTTTGACAAAGATTCGAAGCAAGCATTGACCAAGACT